AAACTAACAAGTTGTAAAATAATACAACTTTAAGACCTATCGATGTCTTGTTAAAATTTACCCGATATTTTAAATTGTATTCCTGTCTGTTATAATAAGATTCGATGAGTTTTTATGTGTCAGAAATAACTTATAGAGAAACTTAACGAGTGCGAGAAAATGCTTAAAGCGTCTTCAAGCAGTTGCACGTACTTGCGAACCGCTACTATTACTTGAACCTTTCGAAAGTTCAAGATGTGGTATGGAATATGGAGCTCTGATGGCTTTAATCCTTAGCTGCTAGAGAACGAGATTACACTTGAAGTACTAATAGAAACGGTTTTTTTTTTGGAGAAGAGGGAGTGTGTCATTCCTTAGACTACCGAGCAATTTGAGTAAAAAAACTGCTGTAACCTACCTATACGGGTGTTGGTACAAAAGCTGTTTACTCTGTACTGTATATAAATGTACATTTATAGAGAATAATTAACTTAAAGACAGCTGTGTACATGTTTAATGATAATTAATACAATTGGTTTGATATCGGAGTGGTTCTAAGACTCTGGTGTTGACTAAAATGTATAATTACATAATTTTATGACGTCAGAAATACAAAACATTTTAATAGTGTTGCTAATGGTGAGTGGGGTTGCCAGAGCTTTATTTTAACTAATTAACGGGCTTCCAACGTGATTGCAATGCGTTGCATGTTGTAACATTGCGCATGTTGGTACATATTGGTCATCACTTACTGCAACGCAAATATTACGCTTATTTTTACGTTTTTATATTAATTTTATAAATGCGAAAGTAACTCTGTCTGTCAGTTTCTGTGTATGTCTGTCAGTTTTGATTTCATGCCTTAGTTACTTCATAAAATTTCGCATACAACTGCTCAGTAGTACTTACTTTAAGACAAGCAAAAAAATGAAGGAAAAAGGTTAGGTTAGGTTTTTTTCGGTATGTCCGTAGTCCTCTAAGTTTACTTTTTACCGTGGGAGAGGCATGCTTTGACACACATGGGGGCTAGACCGGACTGATACCACGGTCTCACAGTAAACTGGTGTTAAGTAATTCCTTGGTTGCTTTTCACCGAGTGAGTGAGGTTACGAGCCATCATAAAGGGACTCAAAGGGGGCAACGCACTTGTGATTCGTCACTGGCAGCGGTAGTCACTTACCATCAGCTGATTTGTTTGCTCATTTGCCCCCCTATATCATATAACAAGTCGGTTTTTATAAGTATTCAATTAGTCAATCTAGTTTTCATCGTACAATCTGCTTAGTTTGAAACTAGATGGAGTTGTGTGTCAGATGTTCGAAATATTTATTTAAAATATTTACGTAGCATTAAAAATATATCAATAATTTAAGAAATTTCAAATTCACTTCACCATCACATCAACGGCCTTTAATAGTCCACTGCTGGAAATAGGCTTCTCCTTAGAAAGGAGGTTTTGGCCTACTACACCACGATAGCCAGCCGAGTTGGTTTAGGGTTTGTTTTACGTTCTCCAGCCGGTCATCGCCGAGTGGGCAGGGCGGCAGCACGGGACCCTTACCTTCCGGCTGACGCAGGTGCTTTCCGGGCACGGTTGCTTCGGAAAGTACCTGCACTCGGTCGCTAGGAGGGAACTGAGTCCCGCCTGCCACCACTGCAGTGAGGGCTCGGCCCAGCACACGCTGGCGGTCTGCCCCGCATGGGCGACGCAGCGCCGGGCCCTCACTGCAGTCATCGGAGTGGATCTCTCGCTACCGGCCGTAGTACGCTCCATGGCCGGTAGCGACAGTTGTTTTACCGCGGCCGCAACCTTCTGCGAGGAAGTAATCTCGCAGAAGGAGGCGGCGGAGAAGGCCCTGGAGGACGACCTCCACTCGGACCCGATCCACCGCCGGCGAACCGGGCGGCGGAGGCGCGCTTATCACCGCCTCATGCCGCCCTGAGTGTGGCCGCGGGTGGACGGGGTGGGTTTCCCCTCCACCCGCAATAGTTTGGCCAGCCGCGAGGGGGCGGCGTCCGCGTGTGCCGGACGTCGCCTAAACAGAGGAAAAAAAATTTTGAGACGGAGCCCGCAACAGGAGCGGGCCGGCGCTAGGATGTCTTAATAACAGCTGTTCGCGGATCCCTCCTATTACAGGCGCAGAGTGGCACACCGTGTGGTTTTAGTCGGTCCGAGTCCGACACACCACCCCGCCGCAAACCCCGGTGGGGTGACGGTCCGAGGGGATTTCCACACGTTAAAAAAAAAAAGGGTTTGTTTTACGTTTCCCTTCTCTTTGCAGTTATGTTGTCCTGCATAGTATGGTCCAACGGAATGAATAGGGGTGATGACACCCGTATTCTTAATCCGTCACCACACGGAAAGTCAAAATTATTTTGATTCATTTTTATAAAGAAATAAAAACGAACGTTGTGAATTAGGTATCGTGTCAATGTAGTTCTTTAATATGACAGGGTTAACTGACTGTAGGTCACTGAGGTGTGTAGTAATGTGGGCAGAGATTGGTGTAGGCGACCGACGCATGGCCCCGACGTGATGCGTTGTACCTGTTTGTGAGTTAGATACTCGTACGAGTATGTGCAACAACAAACTTAGCACTTATGCAGTGTTTAGTAATATTTGTAATAAATTCTTTGAAATTTATTTTGTCATGCATAAGACCAACAAAAAAAAAACAGTAGCACTCCGGGAGTGCCGACAGAAGTGAAAACTTGCAAAATATTTTTTTTTTAACATAACATGTTTTTTTTGTGTTTTTTCGTAGATACTCATATAGAGGTGTCGGTAACAGTAACAGTGTCGCGAGTTTAATGGTTTTTTCCCATCTCAAAAAACATTATTTTGTTTGTTTTTCAAAAATGTCCAACGCGCCTGAAAAAGTTTTCACTTAAAAAATATGTTTTTTTCTTTTATTTTCAAAATTTAAATATTTGATTGTATTTGTTTATCCATTTTTACAAAGTTACTGTACAAGCTATGATACGTCTCAGTCTGACTAGACATGCGCTACTTCGTATGACAAAAGGAATATTTTTCCACCATTTTTCATTGATGCTGGGCTCGGTCGTAGCGTGATGCTATATAGCCTAAAGCAGGGATTCCCAAAGTGGTCGATATCTATTTCCTAGGGGTCACATAAACAAAAACTGATTTTGGGGGTCGACGAGGTCTAAACATCGAAGCTCTTATTTGAAACTTTTAAGATAATGTAATAGTTGTTTTACGTGTACCAACTTGTTATAAGAATTACTAATATTTTAGTAGGAAATATCATTGTTGTACTTTTATAAAACTCAACAAGTCGATAAGCGTGCCGTAATTTAGCTATCTAAAGGGTTTAAGGTAGGTATCAGGTCATTTTAGAAAAGGGGTCTCGTGCCCATAATAGTTTAGAAATCCCTGGCCTTCCTCGATAAATGGGTTGTCCAACACTAAAATTATTTTCACCCTAGCAATAGTGCCTTTAAAAATACATAATTATATATTATTATTTAGCAGTCTATTGCAGGATCTTACGAGCCCATCCATAGAGACAGAAACTTAAAATTGTATAAAAAGCCAATCTTTCTACATTTTGCCATTGCTTGGTTCAAATACCTATTAATAAAATGTCTAATGTATTTTTTGTTAGCTATCCTCGACAGTAGTCTACACTATCGATGGAGTAGTTTTTGTAGTATGACTCAGCGACGACGGCGACGCAATGGAGAATCATCGGCCATCTTGGATTTTATAACCTTCATAATTATAGATACCAATTTGCCTCTTTTTACTAACGTAGATATCTTTTGTTTGACCATTTAGGTCAGTTCAAGCGAAAATATAGTTTTTGGATACATTGGTAGTATTTCATTTTATATATTAAAATAATTTGGTAAAATCGTGTGATGTTCTTTTTAATCTCAAATTTAAGCGAAAAACAAAACAATCTAGATATTCTTGTTAGTTTTCTCTTTAAACCAAGTGGAGGACCCTGCCGACTGTTCGACAGTTTTTTTATTAAAGACATCCCCGGCACTAGGAATATATCCTGTGATGCGGGCGACTTAACAAACATTCATGAAACGGAAACAAAGAAAACCCAGACTCATTGCAATAGGAATCGGCGAGCTGACCGCTTAAACCACAACGCCACCCTTGCAGTCGAAGTTTTGAATGCTGTTCGTACACCTCTAATTATCGGTACTTATATGTACACATTATTAGAGGTATCTCACGTACCCGGGTCGATGATCATCTTCCACGCCGTCAGAAATATAGCTAGTCTATCATAGGCATTAGGGGGTGCATAAAATCAGAATCACATGTGATAAATCATACAATTTAAGAATCATTTGAACATACCTGCGACTGATTTACAAAACCACTGCTACTTGATTATTATTATTACGCTAGCACAAGACTCGCGAAAAGTCTAAATCTAAAAAAAAGGACATCTTTGATAAAAATAATTTTGATTGATTATAATGCCACTTATTTTTGTCCATGACCAAATCACAATCACATGTGAAATGGCTGTGACTAAAGTAAATAATATCAAATTAATATGATTTAAAAGTGGCAATAATTTCCATGTCTAATAGGCATAAATGATCAAAGCACAGCCACACCTAATATTGCTAAAAAAGTGTTAAACGTTTTTGACATAACAAGTAGAAACGTGCTATGCCCATCGCATTACAAACATTACAGTAGTATTACAAAATGTCTGCAAGTCTATTTATTTTACACAATCCTTTTAAATTTAAATGAAATGCTGGCCAAATTTAGATATTTGTTCTTTTAAAATGATCGTACGGAACTTATAGAGTGGTATGCTTGTATCATGTTTCTGCATCATGCATGTTTCTGTAAAAGTGTTCGGTAGACGGTAATATAACCTCATTTATGTCTCAGGACTAAACATTCAACACCTTGAATGAACAGTCTGCCCACATTTATAACAAATGCGAACACGAAAGTAAAAACTGGGTGCACACCAATTACGTCAACAAACTGACCAAGACAACGCCCAAACACGATGACATCAGAATTGAATGGATGCATAGTTAAAACTAGTGATGTGACTCCTCGGTGAACACAATTATATTATAAGGAAGATACGTTATATTCATACTGCACTCACAAAATATTCGTTCTGTAACAGTATTTTTATTTTAACATTTTTCTTAATGCACATAGAAACGCGACATAGGTGCGCTCGCTTCTAGTGGTCCTAATTAGGGCCAATTCACAGCACGCGTTTTGTGCATTGGTGGCGTATGTACCTCTTGTTTGTATATAATATCATTGGGTGAACACTATTGTTAAAAAATATATGATATACCGTGATATACACCAATTCAAATGATCTAACATGAAATACATTGCTCGTGTGCGACCATCCAGTAAAAAGAAATTAGAATTGTAGAATAAAAAATGATTTGGATGGATAGTGTGCTAGAGAACGGAGTTTGAATAAGTATTTTAGCCCCTCTTCGTAAATAAAGACAGTTTCTACTGGACTGAGAGTTGAAATTTGCCATACTATTTATGGCAGATATGACTGAACAATAACTACCGATTTCTGCCTTTGGGCAGTAACGGTTACTATTGTAGTCTATGAGTCTATTCCTAATACGAGAATCCAAAATTTACAAGGAAAGGAGGAGGATTCAATTGGAATAACCCATTTTGCTTTGTTCACAATTCTGACACCTATATTGAGCCGTTACTGTCACAAGGGTCAGGATATAATTAATATCCCGACCCATATGTAACAGTTTCTTTGCAGCTAGTTAATAATGTTTAGTTAAAGTCCAAACAAAGCTGTACATATGTATGGGTACTTACTTCCAAATTTACTCGATAGTTTTTCAAAACAAAACACTATTGCGACTACGAACACTAGGATGTTTTGAAAACTGTAGTCAGTTTGGTTATCATATCTGTAAACTAAAGAAACAATTATCTGTGTGAGTTCTTTCTTTTTAATAGTATTTATTCAATTTAGCTTGAAATATTCTGTGACCTTAACAATTTATAAGCTAATTGTAAATTAATGTGACAGAATATTTTAAGCTAAATTGCATATTTATTTATTTAAACAAATAAAATTTAATTTAAATAATAATGAGGAGCTAGGAAAAGAATCTTCTTACAACAAGTACGCCTTCTTAATCGAACTGGAGTTAGAGAAGAAAGTAGATAGACCTCGGACTAATGACGCTTTTGCCGTCTAAGTATTTTTTATACTTGTTTATTTTTTTAAATGACCTCAAAAACAGAATGTAAAAAATAGATTGTATTTTTTTAACGCATCTATGAATTAATTTGGCAAATTCTCTTTTTATTTGAGAGGGTATACTTTCTGTTTGGTCCCAAATAGAAAATGCCAACCTAGTGGAAAAGCAAGAAAACAGTTTATTACATGAAGCTGGTGGCACTTTTTGAAGAGTTAATTATCGGATTAAAAGTATTAAATAACAAATAGCAATAAAATATGTGTAGTTCCAACTCAGTAATTACTGCTGATATGTTTCCAAACAGGTTTTATCGGTATCATTACATAAAGGCGATACCTACTGTCATAGTTTTTACCACGGCCGAGTAAGTACATAGAACAGAGATTAGCATGGATGTTTTTATTTATTTATAAGATCGACTATCGCTGCGTTCGTAAATATAGACAACCGTATAGAATATACGGAGTTATACCTGCAGTGCTATTCTCTAAGGAAACAGCCTTGCATACAACGCTGCCACAGCGTCGAATTTCAAACTAACCTAGTTTGAAATTAGACCTTGAGGCAGCGATGTAGCGTCGAATTTCACACGAACTTAGTTCGGACACACAAAAAACCGGTGAGAAGCATTTCTCTCGTTGCTTTTCACCGAGTGAGTTACCAGAGACCTCTTCCTCTGCCTCTGATTCAAAGAATTAAGCGCAACTCACACATAAAACGGTCCGGGTCGGGAATGTGGTGGCATTTTTTAGTTAAAAAAATCTTAGATTGTCTAACCAAAATAATCGCTACTTATTGGTTTGATACCGTATAGATATATATAGACTATACATGTCCATGGATTGCAATAGCCAAAAAATATTAAAACAAAAAAAATGTAAGTTAAATAAATCTTTTCAACAAAGATTTAAAAATCTTACACCAATTTAACTTTGCTTGTAATCTATTAGTTTAGATTCACTCTCATTTTTAGATTCAATTAAACATTTCATCTGTTTATTAGGGTAGGCTGGACTGCTGCCCGCGCTTTGCGGGCGACGGCGCTGAGAGGGGTTCGGATGTCTTAATAATAGCATTTCCCGGATCCTTCCTATTACAGGCGCACGGTGTGGTTTTAGCCAGTCCAATTCCGACACACCACCCCGGTGGGGTGATGGCCCGAAGGAGTTTCCACACGTTAAAAAAAGGTGTACGCACTTAAGATTCAAATTTTTCTAAAATACAAATATACAATTCTAGATAGTCAGCTAAACTTTTATTTAGTACTTAATAATCACGTCTTTCATAAAGTAATATGATGATGATGATGATGTATTGTAACTGTAGGTCCAGGAGGGCTTAAATTGTGAACGAAACCGTCTTGAAGACCTTGACGCCAAACGCCAGCTTCGAATAATTCGTCCTGAGCCCCTCCAATAAAGTAATATAACATGTAACGAACACACACCACTTTTCAGCAAAAATAACAAAAGTGAGAATTGCGTACTCTTACAAGAGATATTGGATTAGAGTACACAGGAAAAAATATCTCCAAATTCAGGTTTCCATTACTTGCAGTAGTCACAAATGAACATATTTTGACTTTCATGGCTGGTACAGGCCACCACTCCGCGTCTTCTTTTGGGGTTGTTGGGGTCCTGTGTATACTTCACCACATTTGGATATTTCCATAATTTTTTTTGGGCGCCTTATTTGGCACTTCGTAAGCTTTTAAACACTTTTGTATTTGGTTTTATAGTGATTTTGAAGCTGTTTGTACTTGTTCTGAAGCTGAACTCTCCTCGAGATCCAATTTATACGGAGACCCACTCAAAATATTTGAATTTGACTGTTATGGTGTACAAAGACTCTTTTCGTACTTCTTTTTCGCATAGACACCATTCAAACAGAAAAAAAAAGATTAAGATGCATATAAAACTACTTATTACGAAAACCTTGTGTGTTGTACGCGCGCACTCTTGCACATATTTTAGATTTTCTAGTTGAGTGCATCGCCATATATCAGCATTGACCGGAATCGTTCTCGCTTTGACACTTAGATGAATTTCTTGCCTGCCAGCCGGCATCGTTGTATTTTTTTAAATATTTGTAGTTTAATCACAAATATACTTTCAAAATGCTATTAATATTTTCAAAAATGGGTAAAATGGTAAATGTTTATAGTTACGTACGTTACGTAATTGCTTTGTTTTTACAGCTTTTTCGTTTTTTTTCGCTCAACACCTTCTAGTAGCTTGGACTTCAAAATAAAACAGAAGTTAGACGCGTATCATTAACAACATCATGGTTATTGGGATTGCGTACTCTTCTCTTAGACCAGCCTACCATACTTATACAATAACACTAAATATATTCCTTCTGAAACCTTCTGGCCAAAACTTCACGCAACTAATAAATCAGTTTTAACTGTCATGGCTACCTACGGAACATACTGTCTCATTGTATTCAAACTCGATTAATTCCATCGATCGACGATATAATCGATATGGTAACAAAATAAAAGCGGCTCGTGCGCGGTGACCTAGAACCTTTAAAGACATACCAATGTGTGCATGGATACCATCTAGGTATACGTCGTAATCGTAAGCAGTTAACGATGCGACCGAAGTTAAATTAAAAAAGTTGAAAGTAATGTCCAAATTTGAATGCTTCCAAGTAGATTATAGTATCTTTTGATATTTATAAATTACGTACCTAAATATGTGTGTGTAGAAGCAAGTAAAGATCAGATCTCATACCCTTCGTTTACATTTTTGATTCAGTAGCATTTATGAAATCGAATAATGTTACGGATTCTTGTTTCACTGTCTTCTATGTTAATTTCGAACGCATCCTTTCTTTTTGAATTTCAAAATTATGAAAATCTTGAAAGTGCCAGTAAGAACAAATGCTTGTTCTTTTTTTATGGGTAAAAGCTACCTACTCTAACCATAAAATCTTAAATAGTTATGTTCACTTTTGTAATACTCAAAATGAATTCTCGTAACATGAACAATTTTTCAATCTTCGTAGATACTCTCTTCAGGTTCTTAAGCCTCCAGCCTTCTTAACTTTTACACTTACCAATATTTTTTCTAGATTTCACTTTTTATAACGATCTCGCAGACTGATAATGATTGCGTGGATCATCATGTTCTGAACCGTGCAAAAATCATAAGGTAATGAATAAAACAGTTTATAATGAAAAAAGAAAACATCATAACGACATAATTATAATTTATGCTACCCGCATATTCATTCGTTTAAAAGTGAGTGACGTGCGAATAATGGGTATTAACTGCAAAAACTGACACATTCTTTACCAATTATTGTACATATTATAATAAATTAAAGTTAATTAAAGACTTATTAAATAATACTAACAACACTTTCATATTGTTGCAGTGAATTGAATACGAGTAAAGTGAACGAGTCTCTAGTGCAGAGGACGAAACGACAGACGGCAAACGAGAGAGCGGTGAGTCACCACCATTAGGTACATAACAATAACTTTTGTTTTTGTGTTCTATTTACTTTATTTATAAAATCATAATAATCTTTCAACGCTTGTCATGTACATATCTTTTAATCTGTGTTTAAAATTGGAACTACAGCTGTCCCATTTTGACATATCACTTCGGAGTTGCTAGATAAACCTTTTCTTTTCCCGTCTATTTTCAAATTCTGAGGGTGAAGATAATGCCACTTGGTTTGAAATCCAAATAATGATTATAAGGACAGGAAGATTAATGGTATTTTGACTGAAATTATAAAAAAAATATAAGTGGTAATGTCAAAGTGACGATTAGGCCCGGTACAGATAAAACACGCACTATAAGTATATTCAGGATTTATTTCTTTTTTCAATAAACGACAAAATTGAGGAATCAATTCTATAGTTTTAGGTAACTTATGTGCGAATGTTAATTGTGAGTTTAAACTTCTGCAAGATGAATACAGTTAAACATAAACTGCGCTAATTGAGTTTATTAACCAGTCATATATAATATTATACTAAGATGCCATGGTAGTAATTATTCCCACAATAACTGTCTAACGTTTAATTATTCAGTAATATATTAATATTACTGAATAATTAAACGTTAGACAGTTATTGTGGGTGCATCTGACTTTCTTTTTAATGATATACAGGCAAAGGAGCAAAGTTCAAAATAGTTTTCAATGTATGTACGGCTTTTAATAGCCGCAGTAGTGGGAATATAGGTGAGATAATTACGATAGGTATACCAGTGTTTGCTGAGTCATCCATTGTTCAACATAATTTAACAATTTATCGGTGTGGATGTGCAACAGCGGTGAACTATCTACTTTGTATCGTTGCATTGTATTCGGTGATGGGAAAAGTATGACGCTTGGTGATTGAAGGCTTTATAATTTTGTTTTAATAGAACACACGAATTCAATTATATCTATGAATTGTATACAGTGTGATGTAATATATACATCTATGATTCAATAAAATCTTAACTACGACTGCACGGATAGCGTAGTGGTTTAAGCGGTCACCTCCAGCTTTCTAGGGCGCTGAGTGTTGAGGGCTCGATGCCCACATGGGACAACACTTTGTGTGATCCACGAACTATTGTTCAGAGTCTGGGTGGTCTTTGTGTCCGTCTCATTTTTATTTGTAAAGTCCCCCGTGATACTGGATATTTTCTCAGTACGGGAGTCGTCTTCAAAAAAAACTTTCAGGGATTGAGAGATAACTCACTGAAATTAACTTAGCCTAAGTTTTATTTTACACTCTTCATATTAGCTTCTACTGATCTATTTATCTATTCAATGTTATCTTAATCTCACCAAATCTACACGTATATCTAAGTTTTGAACGATTCTACTGCGAAAAGACTTCTTTCTTGCTCTTTTCACCAAAGACAAAGACCAGTCATGGCGATTCTTTTTCTATCTATCCAGTGGGTTCCTGTGAAGCTTGTAGTATCGTCAGAAACAACTAGACCTATTTTTCGCATTGACGACCTATTTCTTGTTATTCAGCTACATTTTTATTTCTAGAAACCTTCTCTACAATCCATAAACTCAAACTCAAAATATCTTTCTTTAATAAAAAATATATTTGAAATCTTCTTAGAATCTAAAGCCATAGATCAAGACACACAATAGCAACAATCAGTCAAATGTTTAGAAAAATGAAATTAATCTATGATATGCCTGTGCCGATCTACAACCGCCGGTTTCCAAGCGGTTGAGCCTTACCATAACAAAGGGCAAACAAACTCAAGGCCACTCTTTTTCAATTACAGCTAGACACAGTCGCAACATTAAATATATCAATCATATCAATCTTGCTTTCATTCTGATCTACTTCCACTATTGTCTACAGCTCTTTAGGTTAACATTTCTTTCGAATATTCAGCTATGAATAAAAAAGGTTGACAGTTTTGGGCTAGCTTGAATTAAGAAAAAAACTGTCATGGTCCTTGGACACAGTCTGTTGAATATTCGTTCTTTTTTTAAGTGTCATTGTTCTCTTGCAGAAATATTATCCATCGTTGGTTATTTTTCTAAATTACTAAAATATTTAAATCAAGCGTTTGACTAAGTGACAAGGATTTAAATATCTCCAGTGTATTTCAATGAAAATAACTTTTGATTCATTGAGTTGTTTAACTTTCCATATGATTATTTACTACTTTGTTTTTACACGCATTTAGTTCGAGTACAGCCCAATATTATTGGTTTACAAGTACCTATCCACTTTGAGTACTGTAATAACACCCCCCATGCACTATAAGATTTTTGATCACTACATGATTTCGCTTACATCATACATCCCCTTCCTTTTCATCTCCTTAAAGGATGATTTCTGAGATAAAAACTATCCTATGTCCTTTCCCGGAAATATAACTATCTCTATACCAAATTTCATCTAAATTAGATCAGCAGTTTAAGAGTGAAGTAACAGACAGACAGGCAGACATACACACTTTTATATTTATAATATTAGTACTGAAGTATGGATTATAACAATTAAGTCGCGAAAATATAAAACCGGTCATGTCATTACTCTTTTAGTTTCGAAAGTTCTACGCTAAATACGATATCGCATAGAACATAGTCCATTAGTGCTGTTTGAATGCAATATCTAAACAAAATATTGTGTTTCTACTTAGTGAACCACTAAAAATGTACACATTTGTTCTATGTATAAAATTGGCACAGCCAAACCAGAAAATACCTTTCGCTTGCATTAGATTGCGTGAATATCATATCACTGAATAAACAAAGTCTTTATGTTCGAAGAGTTTTTGGTATTTTGTTTGCGACATTATAAAAAAAAAGTGAACAAAACAAGTACACAGTTGTATCCACAAAAAATATATGCGCGTGTAATTGACTGTTTCCTTTTTTAACCTAACTGCTTATGGACTTTAAACCGGTTGCTATGTCATTAAAACAACGATGAACTTTGCTACTGAACTAATGTTATGGCAGTCGCAATTCTGACTGGGTTGGGACGAATTCTATCTACACCATTAAAATTGGAAGATAAGATATTTTCAAAATCATAGGATGTTGGGATAAATCGTGTTAGATTTTCCCATATCCATGTTAGAAAACAAGGGGTGGACGGATAATTATGACCAGCCGCCCCTCCAATGGTATGTCTGTATTGTATCGTATCTAATAAGTTAAAATCTACTTATCAGATGTACATGTATTTTTGTGGTGTCCACTTTTATGTTGCAATATGGAAAGAATGAGCATAAGTATAAGTATTGTCCATAAGACATATTTAAAGCACTAATTTTGACAAGTTGTACAATTTTATTGTGCAAATCTACTTCAAATATTGCTTTTATCTATTTTACCGTTAGTTTTGTTTAGGCATGGCAGGGTATAAAATCACAATCACTTGTGATAAATCAAGTGATTTCAAAATCATTTCATCACACCTGTGACCCATCTTCAACATCACTACGACTAACTATTATTATTACACCAGACACGCGAAAGGACTATGTCTAGAAAAAACAGTCGGTTTGATTGATTTTGATGGTGTGGTGACATACAGCAGCTAATATGTTATTTATTTAAGGAAATATATTATTTTAACGAAATTAATTATTACTGCTAATTATGCGGGGGATAGTCACATACCCCCATAATGGCATTAATTTTTGTCTATGACTAAATCTAAGTAAGGATTTTTCACAGGTGAAATCACAGTGACCAACACCAATCATTTATGATGAAATGAAAAAATGAAATGAATATGATTTAAAAGTAGCAACAATTTCCATGTCTATTTTAGTTTCTCATTTCTTATCAATACAACCACGATATGCCACAGCGAAGCGTGGCAGGGTACAACCAGCAAATTATTACTTTACAACATAAGTATTCAAATTTGACCTTTACAAAATGGTTGGCAGTGACACGCCAAATGTACTTAGTTTAAAATATGTTGATTACAGCCTGAGTCTCGAATCTGGTAACAGATTTAACTGAATTTAGAACATCGGGCAAAGCAGTCAGCAGGTCAATGACAAACATTCTCAGGCACTCTTTAGGGACATTGGGACTAATCCCACCCACACGCCCACCACTGCAACTCCTGTACACCAGGATCCACAGCAGTGACCCAAGAAGAAACCGAGTTATGACACTTGGGAAGTCCCAGGAAGAAATTAAACTGTCTTCTTTAGGGACATAGCAGCTCCTCACAACTTAGGTTGCACATATTGCCTGGTTTATATTTTTGTCATGTAATGCAAATTGCGTGCTCGGTTGCCCCGTCCGGTTACGCTTGACTGACGATTTCAAGTACTATCCGGACATTACAATAGACGTTTGGTATTCCTAAGGCCATCTTACGTCAGGTAGCGAAATCATTTTTTTATACGATTTATTGTTATTATAGTATTTCACTCCGGCCCACCGCCTTAAGCTCTATAAGGCGCAAGTCCGGCAGCTTACGGAATACTGTTCTCATTGCTATGCAGAGACACCACTGAGGTGTACTGACCAGCTTCTCCCTCTGGACCGCATCCAACGAAGAGCGACTCGAATCGTCGATAGCCCAAACATCTCCGAGCGGCTCGATCCCTTGGCGTTACGTAGAGATGTGGCTTCACTCTGCATTCTCTATCACATATATTATGGAGAGTGCTCCGAGGAATTGTTCGTGCTAATACTAGACGCAACTTTCCTTTCCTTCCTCCTTCAACCTGGATAGTTGGCGCTCCACTACTGTGCGCTTTTCGAGACACTTTTTGCCCCGCAAAACCAATCTGTGGAACGGGTTATCGCCTGCGGTATTTCCAGACCGATACAACCTTTCCGGCAACGCGTTTGTGACTCCTGAGTTGCAGACGTTCATGGGCGGCGATGGTCATTTTCCATCAAGTGACCCGTCTGCTCGTCTGCTCCCTCTAACATATGTAAAATAATATCTCATTCTCTAAAGGAGATTTCATTGAATCTTTTTCATAGAGTAAAACGCTTGCAACTGTCAACTTATTTGTTTTAATTTTAAAGATCAAAGTAAGAATAATAATCAGATCAAACCAATATTCATCTAGACTGCACTGTGTTAAAAAGTATCAATTAAGAAACGAATTTATAAAAGTGAAATTAAATAAAAAGAGTTAAAAAAAGTAATAAAAATACATACTCGTACTACTCGTACTTACATACTGGTAACTGGTACAAATAAAAAAAAAATAGATTTTAAACTATTATAAATCTGGTTCTCCATTAAGTTAAAATTGCGCTATAAATTAAAATCTGAGTCAAAATTTAGAATAATATGTAGGATGAATTAGCATAATGCAATTCGAAATACATTCGATTGAGAATCTTAACTCGTAAAAATAAAGTTGAAAATATTCTGCATCACTAAATAAATGTTCACGTGATCGTTTCGCATTATCGAAGAAAGAGACAACATGATAATGAAGCGAGAAATATACATCTTCAACTTTTGATAGATAAAACAAGTGCTATTCTGTTGTTCGAAAACTTTCTAAATCAACTAAAAATCACAAAAAAACAATTGTTTAGTCCTGTCAAATAACGTTTCGAATTTTGAAAACGTAGTACTTGACAGCACTAAACTAATTTTTTAGAGATTTTTAGTTTAGTTGAGAGAGTTTTAACGACAGAATTACCACCAATGTCATGTTTTCGCAGTGAATTAGCGAGAATTAGAGTATTTTTTTATAAAAATAATATATTTCTGAGTGAACGTGAGTTGCATTTCATCGTTATCGTAATAAAACTCTTAAACTCTATAAATGTTGTAGAGCCATGTTTCGGCACAAATCGGCAGGCTCGACCAGAGTGATAACACGGCCTCACAGAAAACAGCTGTTAAATAATTCTTACGTTGATTTTCTCTAAGTATGTGTGGTAACCGGAGGCAGTACCCCTCCAGCCCCCTTTTTTTCAGTGCGGAAATTCTCTAGGATACCACCCACCTGCACCGGTGGGATAGTTATGTCGGACTTGAACCGACTAAATAACCGCACGCCGTCTCGGTTACCAGTTGGCGGGGCACCAGGTGTTCCTTAGAAGATAAATCCCTACCCTTCGTCCCCCCTCCCTCCCTAGGTTTAAAACTAGATGGTGCTGTATGTTAGATGTCCAAAAATATTATTATATACTAAACACTATTCCCTAATTTTAATTAGTATCATTAATTATGTTACAATATGTGTTACTTTTATTTGATCAGATACACAAGTACTTAGGCAAGTACCGGAGCCGTCCGGGGTTCTAATTAAAAATTCAAATAATTGCTCACATCACCTGAATTCTTGCATCCTTAATTTTACCTCAATTTTAACCTACAGATGAACCGATCCGATTCGATGTTTTCAAAGATCGAATCATGCACAAACGATGCAATCGAGATCTTTACTTTGTTAATGTTTAACTCAAATAAAATAAAGCATCCACTTGAGCTCGACAACAATTGATAACAATAGTATTAACTCTACTTATACCAGTACATGAAGAAATACTAAGCCTCGATTTAAGACATTAGCAGATTGTAAATCTTTTTTTAATAATAGAAATAGCTCTACATTTTGTATCAGTAACGGCACGACAATTCTGCTTCTGTACAACAATATGTGACAGTCGAAACGTGACACATATTGCCTTTGATAACTATTTATGTTCATGTGTTGTTTTATACATTGACATACGATCCGAAAAATCGATCGAGCATGAAGCTGTGACCTTCGAGATACGAGTCACATAGCTTCTAAGGTGATCGGTTACTTTTAGGATGTCTATATTTCACTTAGTCATCTTAGCCTTATAGAAAAACAGCGAAGGAAAAAAAAAGCAACACAAATGTTAAGTTAAATATGTGACAATGATTCATACCTATTGACAACTTATTGTATTGTGTGATTTTGACTCATCTCACTGATATGGGTTAACCCTTTAAAAGGAAACTGTTCAGCCTTGTGATGTTAAGAAATAAAAGTTGAAAGAACTCGTTATTAAACAAAAAACTATGAGTTTCACTCCTAAATTCGATTAATTTATTTCTCACTATAATATTTGTCACAACGCCTACAAGATACTGACTTAGCTATTATACTACTAATGTGATAAAGAAGTACACATTATGCGTCTTCATCTGGATGTACACTGTACACACTCGGCGTGACGCCAGACACTGTGTCACGTTGTGTTTACGTCGCGACATGAGTAGGTGTCTCAAAAATATATAGGATTACGAGCAAAAAAAATGTCGTTTATTAATATTTCATACACTGATTTGAATTTCAAGTTAAAATAGTTATTACCGATGCCATGGCATTACTTGCCATTCCATTAGTGTAGAAATTGCATGTCTTTTAAGGCGATACACTTGGTATTCTAGAAGTGAAAGAGAAAATCGCCACTGCTAACCAGAGATCGTATTTGTGTCTGTAATTTTTCGATTCCTATTCAACTAATAATTGTGTGATGATAACGATTATTTGTTTTGTGAATGGGTTCATTTTATTTTTATATGTATGCATTTAGAAATATATAAGTTGGTATGTTTATCAGCGGTCTGGTTATCATAGGCTATAATATCTACTCGTAGTTTGAGGTCAGAAGAGTGTGAGATGTATGAAATTACATTTCGTCGATGTACAATAAGAAGTGTGCTCTTCATGATGTTTTCTTGTTGTTTCAGATTTGGGGTTACAAAACCCCTTCGACGAAACGAATCGAGATTGGAGCTGAAGAAGTCTCCTCTCGGCCCCTCGAAATATTGTAAAAATCGCTCGGTCACTGTCAGGCACTAATCCATACCTGCACTGCTCTTGTATATTAGTCGTATTACAAATACAAAACGAAAAAAATCTCGATAGAACACCCTCTATCAGTGGCCACGGCAGAGGGTTGTAATTTATTTACATTTTATATATGCATATATAAAAAAGGAGAAAAAAACGTGATCTCTAACGTGACGTCACAATATCAATTTTGTGATTATTATACTAATTAATACATTATTTTAATTGCTTTTGCTGTTTAAAAATAGCATTTTAACGCGTATTGCCCGTTATAATATAGATTTTTTGTATTGTATAATTGTATATAGTTTAAAAAAATAAAAAAATATTGTGTGACATTGCGTAAAGTAACTATCATACTAGTCATCGATCTAGTGTATTTATTGTTGTAGCTAATATTCAGTTTTATAATATTGAGGAGATAAACTAATACTATTGATAGCCTCCTAAGTACGTATCTATTTAAAACTATTAAATGGTCAAGTGCATTCTAATAACCAAAGAGAACAACAGTGAACTTCTTCTTTAAAAAAGTAAAAGCTGTCAAAAAAAGGCGGAACATCTTCGGTGAAAATACAATAGACAATAAATTAAAGGTTGACTCAGTAGAATCGATTTTTAAAATCTACAAGATGCAGACTCAAATCGGTGTCGGTAACGAGCTTCAAAGGAGTTATAGGATGCAAGACTTCGCATCGCCTGGCGTTATCATGAGGGAACGCAGCTTCATACGTCCACAATCTCATCACAATATGCATCACCAGGTAGGGTATGACTACAGAGTTATTATTCTAGTTATGTACAAAAAGAGTTTTATATTATTATCGAGGTTCCATATCTCGTCTTTGTTTGATACAGGGCGACCCCCGAATATCAAATTACTAAATAGGCTTAATGGTCTGCTAGGTTACAAAACGGATACACTCAGGGTATTTCTAGGGTACACCTTAATTTTCAGATCATGAGAGCCGATGACAGATCACTGTGGTGTTCTATCCGCGGGGGTTTCTGCGTGTAAAAATACTTTTCCTAATAGACAGTACTAATACGATGTTGAGTATGTAAGACTAATATCTTGTCGGTAGGTCGATGTTAACTAAGTTATAAACGTGTTTATTTTTATAAAGACCTTGCAAAGGATTTCTAAAAGGATCGTAGGCGATCGACACAAATAGGTTTAGTCTTACGCCTACAGCCTGTCTGCAGCACTCGATAGCCTTTACATTTGTTTCGTAATCAATTATTATTCTCAAATCGGATATAAGAAATCAACAGCCGATTTCAAGGAAATATAATTAGATTTAATCCACAGATTTTAAGACTAATAGCAACGTGATAGTGTTTTAATAGTGTTTTAATAGCAACGTTTAAATCTTCGTTAACTCTAAAAGTCGTATGAATTAATCAAATACTGCTAGAGATGGCAGCCAATCCTCGTTCACTGCCCGTTTTTTTAAAACGGGCAGTGAACGAGGATTGGCTGCCATTGAATACGGATAAACCCGAAATATGTTAAGGCATTATTAAAGTCGGAAAGAGCAAAATAAATAAAGTTTTTCTTCTAATAGTCACTCTACGTAAACATTTACTCATTCATCTGAAAAATATAAGTCCAGTACCTACTAGGTGTTACTCATATTGATGCTGTTATACCTATGTTTAAATTTATCGATGATACTATAAATTTCATCATTTTGTGAGGCGTGGTCTGTAAATAAATCTCAAGTAGCATCACTGCCCCGTTGTAGGCATAATTTCAAGATTAATCAGTAACATTATATTCTATTTCCGCAGTTTCCAAATAATGGCAAAAGGAGGAGTATGATCTTGACGAATGCTAAGGGCAAGCCGACTTTGGAAATTTACAGGCCCCCTGGTGAGTAAAATATTTTTCTTTATTTTTATTAAATTTAAACAAAGTAAGACTTATTTTTCTTGACTGCACTGTCTTCTCTGATAAAGAAACATATTCTGATAAGCTAACATTTCTGTTCTATTCTATATTTGTAGCTCTCATTATTCTATTATCTACATTTTGTCAAGGATCAGGATCAAAATTTAAAGAATCTTTTGTTCTATTATAATTATTTGTTATTGGAAATATTAGTGTACCGTAAGCCACGGGTATCTATAGACACTTCTATACTTGTTTTAACGTATATAAGTATTTAAGTATTTTAAACTACGTTGTTAATTAAACATAAATTGTAATGCAGTAAAAGCAGCGCACCAAGTTTCTAATTATGCACTGTTTTTTTATATGTCTTAGTCATAATTAGTGTTGTCGCACTAAGTCCAGTTACTTTTTCTTTATTTTTAATATTTATAATTAAAAACTTTCCTTTTTGTATGACGAAGATGAATTTTTGTAATTGTAATAGTATTTATATTTTATCACTTAGAATGACATAAGTTTCCATCGATTTAAACAATCAATACGGTATTCGATTTGTCACAGGCCGAAAGTAAACACTTGGCCGCTAGTCTCTGAGTTAAATTGGCGCCAAAATTAAAAATAAACAAAACATCATATTTGGAACGCGTCGACAGTCTGATGTTTGTAGCGACGGACCGCGTATGTCAAACGAATGTTTATGTGGTTTTCTGTGTTATGATAAAAGATAAAAGTGATATATTATTATGTCTCGGTGTATCGTGAAACAATCACTGTCTCAGCCGGTAGCAGTGGCTCCGGTCGCAGCAGTTACACCTGTCGCTGTAGCCTCAGTGGCTCAGGTGTTACCGGTGTCAGTTTCTCCTGTGTCCGTCACTCCGCCGTCTGTGTCGGTGGCCGTGACTTCTCCACAAGTATCTCCAGATGCCTCGGGTTTGTTTTTTCAGTATGAAAAACCGTAGCTATCGCCAAGGAACCAATTAGTCCATTGCGTGGAAAAGTTCGAGATTTTGATATTTAGTTAATTGTCAGTTAGGCTGCCTTTGAAATTTTAGCTAAATGGTATTTTCGGTTGGGATACCTAATTACAGTTTATATAAAAATCACTTTGTTGCCAACCTTTCTAATTTATTGGTATCTTTGAGAATTTTAGGCAATGTAGTCATGTTTGTAGTACAAAATATACTTAATACACAAATAGGAAGCTCGACAATATAATAGGTCCCTAGCAACATACTAGAATGTCAAAATAGATGATGGAGTCAGTGGTAAACCACCAGCAGTGGACTATTAAAGGCTGTTGATGTATGTGATGATGTGAAACCCAAATTATTAGTTCAAAATAAAAAACATTTACTTACACCAAAACTGAATATTTATAGCCAAAATGTAGAAAACGCAGGATCCACAAATATTTTATGAAGCCAATGAAATATAAACCGTTTGTTATCTATCTAATATTTATATTAGTATAAAGAAGGACCATCGAAAAATCATCTTTATTCCTTTTGTTTATTTACCATATCTAAAACACTTAAATAAAACCAGTGCTAGCTATTAAGTTTCTTTACTATGTCGGTGACTAATCAGATCAAACCAGAAAACGACGTCAGAATCGAGTCTGACGTCTTTCTCGTCGTTAGCTCCTTTGCGATGGCTCCCACTTTTTCATCCAAAACAACTAATTATCTTTAAACACCCAAATAGCGATTTACTGAAATAAATATGTCCCTTGGTTTTCGCTTGCATCGAAGTCGATTTTGTCAATATTTTTTTCCGGCTTATAAAGTAGCTTTTGCGTACATATATATGTGTTAAATTTCAAAAAGATCCGTTCTATCGTGATTAAAAATCCCTTTCATTTCATAAGATGTAATGAGATTCGATGAAAGACTAATGCTGTTAAATATACTTAAAATTAGTTTATCTTATCTTATATAATTCAAGAGACGCTCTGTAAGGGTCAGAACTAAATATTAACCTTACCCCTGGCTTCTGTTCAACAGCTAAAGCCTATTTTGCGCATCATCTTGTTTGATAATGTCTTTATATACTTTTGCTTCTTTTGTTTTCATTTATTACCATCGCCTTTTTTTAAACATATATGCATTTTAACGAAAATATATTATAAGTAAGTACACAAAGAAATAATTTAATATAATGTTTTACATATTAAAATAAAATTTTGTATTATTTAAGGAGTAAATCGGTTTTCGGAAATATTCTGTTAGTCATAACTTATGATTTATTAATGAACGTATAAATGCCAGTGAAGTAAGTATAGAATTTCTCAAAAATTACTTACATTTTCTTTCGACTATCGAAGGATTTTTGTACATTATTATAATTTTTATACTACAAAAAGCCAGTGGCGCCAAAATAAATAAAAAAGGTAAATTGGTTTTCGTCTAAAATGCATGTTTTATTTTCATGCAATTACACACGCATATTAATAATATTGTCATTGCCTTAGTATTCTAATTTAATTCAGAATCCAGCCCTAGCAATATAGAGCTATTGCTGGCTACTGGATTCTGGATTGTGCATTTTTGTAGCTGAGCTATTTTTGGACCCCTACTTCCTCGTAATACGTTTGTCTATATAGGTATATAACCCGACTTACTATATAGGTATATGGCTTGCACAGAAGAATTATATAAATATATTATATTATATAAAGATTTCTAGTGTAAATAAAACTATAGGGATTCTACTCAGTTCCAATTTATATCAACTTACCGTAATCTTTATGCTGCAATTTTAACTGATCTAAATTCATGAAACCTATATCAGTTATGCATGTAGACTGTAAATCTTGGATGAAAGTTTTGCTTTTTGCTCATTTGAGCAGAACGGCTTGCGTGCACCGCGCGATGTTTTAGGTTACCCAATGAGATCACACGATCCGCATTTTCATTTATGTACTGTGGCTACTAATAATAATTGTTATTTTCTTCTTTACTTTAGAACGTTTAATCGAGAACTTGCTAAATTCATAAACCACTATCTGATTGCCATTCAAACCGATGCATTTGTTACCTTAATATTACTTAAAAACTGCGACTGATTTACCCGATCGTTAATGAAGAAATACACCAATAACTACAATAACAATAGACCAAACCAACCAGTTTCTGTACTTTCAACTATACGCTGGACTGATCAACATATTCAGTGCTGTAAGCCATTCATCCCTATCTACCAATCATCTACTTAACCGTGGATAGATTTTAAACATCTAACTGTAAATAGTATACAGTACAGAACAGCTATTCAGTAATAATCCAAAAAAGTATACGAGACTGGTAAAATGTAATAAACACGCGAACTACGTTTTCCACACCTAAGAAATTGCATTTAGGAATATTGCTTTACACTTCCTAAGGAGCTTTTGGTGGCAACTACATAAAAATAAAATCGTCCCTCGTCATTCTTGAGTATCCAGGGCCTATCTACAATTTAGTTTTAGTAAATTTTTTTTGCCTCATAAGAGTATTGGTGTATTGTCGTCTAAAAAAAAGCAGGAAGAAGCAGAAGCACGTACTCAAAAGTATGTACCACGTATAGGTTGAAAAAGTAGAACACATGAAATGTACGCATTACGGCACCGACGAAGTCGTGTCGCAATATAGAACAAACTATCAACAGATTCGTCCCTATAAATAGACTGGATAGGATATACACGTACACGGCAAAAGAATCGTGTACTACTACAAAGTAGCTTCGTTCAACCCGGTTCATGGTACTTTAAGTGATCCTCTTGTATTTGCTAAACAACGATTCTCATTATTATTGAAACAGAAATTTTTCGTTCATAATTTCAGGGAAGTTAGTTTAGGTATCATAAGTTGAATAAAATGTTGTTATGCTTATTTATTTTGGTAAAAGAAATCTATTCGTAGTGATATAAGCCCCGGTAGCCTAGTGGTTAAGGTATTGGACCTGCGATCAAGAGGTCGTGGGTTCGAATACTGACCAGTACACTACCGACGTGAACCCACTCCTAACACAAGCTATGAAGCTTAACGGGAATACTATTAATTTCGGTTGCTAGTAGACCTTTAATTGGCAGTGTTTTACAGTTTTCTTTTTCATTTTGTTCCATTTATTCACAATTTTTTGCTGACGTCCCTTTAAGAGTGAAGGGATTTTGTAGTTACCTTTTACTTATTTCATGCTCTCCATAAAATACTTAAAACTTGTTGATACTTTAAAAAAAACTTTCATGAAGTCTATCTTTCAAACATTCAACATCAAAGTAAAACGAGACACATGGCATTAACATAATGCTTGATCACATAAGTTAGCAATATATTGACTATCTTCCACTAAACCTTATACTCAACATCTCGACACCTCCTAAGTATAATGAGTCAACTGACATTGTAGTAATTTTACAGGAGAGCGATTTGAAGGCAAATCGTTATATATTTTAATGAAAATAAACCTGTTCGTAATAAATTAAATGTTTTTTTTAATAAGGAATGGAAGCTCTTCCTTTGGTATAAAATGATTTTGCTGATTTTTGTTTTTAAATGATATTTTATGTACTTGACTGGGTATACGCCGGCTGGACTCAACAGTAAAATGGTTTAACTACCAGTTATATTCATGTACGTTGTACATCAAAATCTATGGCTTACCCCAATATATTATGAAATATGATTGTCATTTTGATAACGTCATCCTACTTTTCGTTGTTTTCGGTATTTTCTGTCTCACTTAATAATAAAATGTTGAAATTACATCACTTGACTCATTATACTAGGAAAGTACTTAACTATGTTAGCATTTGAAACCTTAACGTATACTGGACTAACATAATTCACCGAGACTTTTTAATTACTTATTTGATTTCTATTATAATATATATACATAAAAATTATGGGATTATTCAACTTCAATATATAAGTATAATCAAAAACAAGGTGAGGTGACGATTATAGCCTGGTGGTAGAACGTTCGACGGCCATGTCGTGAGTTTCATCCCTGGGCATCGTTTTTGGGAAGTCAGTGCCTTCTATCTAATATCCTGACAACCGGTCTAACCGAAATACGAATATCGGTATCCCTTTAGGTTACGTAGGTCAGATGGCAGTCGATCCGTAGAAAAATGATATTCAGCTAATAACCAGTTAATAAGTTAGACCAGCGGCCGACCTTACGAAATGTGGAATCAATAAAGGCTAGAAAGAAGCAGAAGAATCATAAACACAAACAACTCTTTTTATATAATTACAATGTATTTTTCTTCGCTACAATTAGGTAGGAACATATTTTGAACATTATTTACCCTTAGTAAAAGATACAAGAACAAATCAACAAAAACCAATTATCAATCTTGTCTCATTAAATTTACAGAAAAAGAAACAACAAACAATCAATAAAATAAGAAACTAATATAGGTATGTACTTCAACTAAGTATAGTAACTTACGTTAAACAATATTCATAACAGGAATAGGAACGAATAGGCGCTCAATAAACAGCTGTAAGGTTTAACAAAATAAATGAATATCTTAAAGGTTTAATAAATTAAAAGTCACTTTCTGAATCGCTGTCATCAGCTGTGTGAGAGCCATTAGGGTTAGTTGAAATCAAATTATTAAAAAATAAATGATACTCCTAGATAATGATAGACTAGCGTCTTACAAAGATCCATCAAGGCTTTGTGCTTATTTGGTCAATAGGAATGGGTGTCTGATAAGTTAAAGAAATATTATCTATATCAATATACAACTCTCATCGATTTCGTGTAGCTTTAGGTTTCTTTACATAACCTATCTACTTGTAAGCATCACCTTGGTATCTCGTTTTATAAAATACCCTAAATGCTGCTTTAACTACTACTTCCGTTACTTTATTCCAAGGCATTTTAGATCCATCATTAGTAGTTGTCCAGTTGTTTATAGGTATTAGCTTTGATTGGAAGTATTTTATTAAATGCTGATACACTTCTATTGAATTTGTATGGCTTTTCATCGGATGTGGTATACGATTGATCAGTCGTACAAAGCATTTTATATTTTATCTGCATTTCAATTAAAGCGCGCATACTCTCGCTTAGTTTTGAGTGTGACCCACTAGCAGAAAGCGATGGCTAATATCGTATTTAACTTTGAACTAGCTAACATAAACACTAAGAAAACAATTCTGTTTCTAGTTTAGCCTCCACAGTTGTCTGACCAGAACCGGTAATCTTTGACACCTTCACCCACCGTATCATCTATAAACTGAAAACACAGCTGGAAACTTTTGAGAGTGTAATATGATCCTACTGTGGAAAATACCTCAACGTGATCTACAACACTGGGAACGATATCTTCATTGATAATCTTTAGAGAATTACTTTGCCTACCACGCTGATCTGTTTCAATAAATCTATCTCCTTTATCGGACTTTCTTAAAGCAAAAGCTTCCTAAACAAAATTAAAACCAATAAAAGGGTTCTTAAGAACATAGTTAAACTACGCAGGACAACAGTACTGCAAAAAGAAGGAAAACTTGAAACAAGCCCTATACCAACCTGTCTCGCCAACGTGGTATAGTAGGCCAAAACCTCATTTCTAAGGAGAGGCCTATGTCCAGCAGTGAACTGATAAAGGCTGTTGATGAAGAACATAGTTTTGTAAATATTATTATATTTTTGTACTCTCAATATTATCCCCTTGACTGCTTGAAGGGTAATAAAAAATAGCGTGAGGACGTTTTGAATTATCTTTATCCAGTATTTATCTTTCTTTGTAGCTCTTACAGCATACCTTGCCAAAAAATTGTATTGTGTGGTCTCCAATACTCCAAAACATGTCAAAATTCTTTGCCGAATATCTTCTGTTAATTTCCCATTACATTTTTGCCAACAATTTACGGGGCAAGAAGTTTTTATAACTCTTATACCATGTACTCTTCCGTTTCTTCTGACATCTTCCAACCCTCTATTAACATTATATTTCCTCTCCCGATCCTACCATTTTATAAAAACGTTCCCTTAGCTTTCCTTTATCTTTTTTAGCAATTGAAATCCACCTACAACGTATGACGTTCTTTATTAATTACGTATTAATTACCTAGAGCATTTTCTATGACTGATGGCAATCGAACTTCTTTTTGAATTTCGATAAACGAGCAAGGAATATTATAATCAGGGAATAATATTATGGAAGCGTTAGAAGGGATATTCTACAATACATCTATGCTATCATTCAAATCAATATCATCAGTATTGACAGCTCCTCTTCCGTAAAATTTGTATCAGGTGGCAAAGGAAACTCTAAAACAAACAATAATTTAAATTAAAAACACAAGAATTCATATTTTTGTGTTGAACATGCCAATAACAAGTAACAAAATATATAACAGATAAAAAAATATGTATTATAACACAATTAAATTCAAGTACAAAAATATCAAAAGTTTAATTAGTATATTATTATAGCCAGATGAGCCAAGTGTCTTCTTTATAACGTTATTTCGCCGTATACTGGTGTAACTAAAGTTGTATCAGTATACGGCGTACTAAGCGACATGAACAACAATTATCAAACAAAAATTACAAAATCACACTAATACACGTAAAATAAAGATAACTTACCATTTTCATCCCTGTTTTGCATTGTATCACCGATTCCAGAGTTATTTTATTGTTTTATTGGTATTAATCACATTGTCGTTGAGTAAATAAAAAAAAAATCATGCCCTGTTTGACTGCATTATGTTACTAATATACATTAATAAAAAAACAATATAAGACAAATACATCCACATTTACTTTATTCACTATTTTTACAAACCAAAATTTTACCTAAAATTGAGTTTATACATGCTGCCATTCATCGTATACTGAGCCACAATAAACTTGTATCAATGCGTCCCCCCACACGTCCCGCGTACACTGGTACGACATCATTTGGATCAGTATACAATGTACGATTTTAACTGATGTTGTAATTGATTTAGTATACGTGAAAATATCTCGGTAATTCTTGTTCTTTTTTATTTATTTTTAACACTAACATCAAGATCATGGTTTAGTATGTACGTTTATGTAAAAATATCAAAATACCTAAATTTGTTAGATGACTCAGTATACTTAGGAGGTATCGATCTGTCCTATCTCCCTCTTCTCTTGACGACCACCGTTGACCACCAGGTGTCCGCACAGACGGCGTGGCGACCACGGCGGTTTCCGGTACGGCTACGACTGCCACCAATGCGTCGACTACGGCCTCTACATCTTCTACCAACAAGCTCAATGTACACGCTAAGGAGTTCACCATGGCCAAGCCCGCTGACCTTCACAATAGGTGAGTGTTTCCAGTATCAGATTTTGCTTTAATCTCGACATTTTAACGTAAAAAGTTTATTGAAGGAGTTGATGCTCTAACATGTATTTAAGATGTCAGGTCTCTGCACCTCGTGGGAAAAAATGATATTTTTATTTAAAAATTCGCTAGTGCTAATTAGCTAACGCGCAAGTGACTCAAAAAATACAATAACCTTGACTTTGCATCACGATAAATTTTTCCATTGTCCTCTCCATGCCGTATTCTGATTACATTTGTTTTGCGTCAATTTGAAGATTAATTAAAAAGAATACGTTTTTGATAATATTGTAGTCTACACGACTTCTGACCTTGTTTGCTAACTGAAGAAATAAGCAATCCATTTGTTTCTCATCAACAGTAGTAACGTGACTGGATGCTACCATCGTCGTTGGCTCATGTCCAACAGAGACAAAACAAAAAATGATGAAACAATGCGCGAAAATGTTATGAACGCGTCGCGTCACCGCGTCGTAGGTTCACCTATGTGTTCGCGCTAGTAGTATCAATTGTAGAGTTTTTGTTATCACTTAGTTGTTGGCTACGGTGACGTGAACACGCCCGCGCACACCAAAACGGGCCGAAGAGCGTGCGCCGCCGCCAGCCGTAGCCGCCCCGCGCAGTCCGCGCACGCGCCGGGAGACGCGCGGAGTTCCCGACACGACGCGACCAAACAACGACCAAATTATCACCCGAACGCCTCCGAACGAACTTGAATCGTAAAAGCCGTATTTTTGAGTACAAATCTCAATAGTAACGAACGAGTGAATCGCCGACAAATCGCTGACTAGTTGTTTATGCTCCTGCACCGCTCTTCGGGAAGTGTAAGCTCAGGGATAGGGAGTGTGGCGGATACCGGATTCTATTAATAAAATGCCGATGCTGAGAGGGAAATGAGACGTAATTTGTCGGCAGCTTAGCCAAGTTTGCACTGAGATTTGCTGTTGAAGATAGTGATAAAATTTTATTGTAGTCCGTGTAAACATCTAGAATTTATTTATACAAACAGTGCAATGATGAGAGTGATGTAGTGGAATCGTCTTGTGATTTCTTGTATTCAAATTAAAATTATTTTCAAGATGGTCCGCGGAAGATATTCTACGTCTGATATGTAAGTTTGTGTATCGTTAGTATTTTCACCAAACCTGGTTGCCATAATTTTGATAATTGATGTAAAGATACGTTCAAGACGTCTTGTAATTGCACTACTGATGGTCACAGGCTATATTTTTTCTAGTACAGCAATAAAAGGTTCACTTGTTTTTTTTCTCGACATGCATTGAATTAACTCTGTCATTGCTACAATTGTGCTAGAATTATTATGATGATATTCCTCTGTCCACATATCGTCTGACGTCGATCCGAGAATCAAAACATTCTACTTTGAATATATGCAGACGTAAGCTTCCGTACTTGTTATATTAAGAGGAAAGTGTATTTTGGCATCAGAAATAGTAGGACGTGCCATAAAATTATGTATACGTATGTACTTCCGAATATCCGGGCACTCCTACGGTTTTTTAATATCTTGCATATTTTAGCGGTTTATTAATTCTATTTGAAATAGTTTCTAATGTGAATCTTAATACAGTGTATAATCTTCTACAGAACTAAAATATCTATTCAAAACCGACTCGTACTTCATTCTATATGGTGTCGTTTCATCCATTTCAAGGTCATTGTACCATGCCGTTTTATTCTGTTTATAAATATGACTTCGCTTGCTCAAGTTTTAATATTTCCACTAATTGAAAGGCATTTGTCTACTGCCGACAATGAATAACTGTTTCGACTCTACCAAATGTCATTTAAATATTTCCCAGCTCACTTTGAGCACAAGAAAAAGCGCTGCATTTTGACCCTGAGAGGTCCAAGTATATCGTATTTAATGGCTTTATGTATTAAACTAGTGACGCTGAAGTGATGTTTTAATACTAGTAATGTTTAATTCCAATGCAGCTTGTAATGTAAATGATGTATCTAGTTGGGTACTTTTATCAAATCTCATGAAAATTAATCTTTTTTTTAAAAAAAGACTACGCGTTAGGATTATACATATATCCTGTATCGCGGGGGACTTTACAAACATACATGAAACGGACACACAGAACACCCAGACTCAGAACAACAATTTGTGGATCACACAAAGTGGTGTTCCATGTGGGAATCGAACCCAAAACCGACCGCGACCGCTTAAACCACTACGCCATCCGTGCAGTCGCCAATAAAATTTATCCAGTTAAGCAAAAAAAAAGGATCCCACTAACATTCTTAAATCCAAGCAACGCAGATTTTTTGCATTTTAACTCCTTTTGCTTTAGCTCTTCTTAATTCACCTATTGAGTGTATATGGTCTTAAACTTGAGAGCCTACTCCCTCCTCAAAGACCGGCAACGCGTTTGTGACTCCTGGTGTAAGTTGTAGGCGTTCATCGGTGACGGTAGTCGCTTTCCATCAGGATGCCCCCCCCCCCCCCTCCCTCTTTATTAAAAAGAACTTATTGGCTGGTTTTGCGGGGACATTTAATTCTATTACCATTCGTTCGTGAACTTTTTCGCGTTTGTTAGTATTGGTTATAGAATCATTATTTTCCTTCGATAGTTAAATATTCTTCTTTGTTCTACCTGGTGGTACCGTTTAGACTTTCGTGAAAGCAACAACAAAAACTAGCTGTAAAATATAAAATTCAATGGTTTGTAAAGTAATACAAGTCTACTTTGTGTAGAAAGATTTGCATATAAACATAATAAAATACATCACTTGTTTTGGATTAAAAAAAACTACTTCTATTAATACCAATCTTCATAAACAGTTTATTCATAAAATATTTTATTTAACAAAAAGTAGATGCACTTGGCAGGCATGTTCTACAGCAGGGATTCCCAAAGTGGTCGAAATCGACCCCTAGGGGTCGAAATCTGTTTCCCAGGGGTCGAAATAAACGAAAACTGATTTTGTGGGTCGACGAGGTCTTAAAATCGACCCCTATTAATCAACACAAGTCCTTATTTGAAACTTTCAAGATACTGTACTTGTATTAGTTGTATTGTGTGCCAACTTATCATTGTTATTGACTATTTTATAGTAGGAAGTACATTTGTTGTACTTTTTAAAAACTCAACAACTTAATAAGCGTGCAGTAATTTGGCTATAGGAGGGGTCTGAGGTATCAGTTCATTTTAGATAAGGGTCTCTTGCCCAAAATAGTTTGGCAATCCCTGTTCCAAAGTATAGAGAAGTCGATCATGGATTGTGAGTTACGCAATGTTGCCTGTAACATGATCGTCAGTGTATAATATCTTCGTCACAAAATAATTGAATTACCTTATCCCACATTGACCGCACATATCACTTGTCTCATTTACATTATTATCTGTTATATGACAATGACCAGACGTGTGAATTTTTTTTGTGACTATTTTGTGTTAAGATTGTCGACAAAGGAAAATTGACTGCCTTCGTTGAAGATTTGGTTGTCCGGCCTTGAGGCCTGAGAATTGTATCATGGGTTCTGTTAGGAAATTTACAATATTTTTCTCCCCATAAAAAGTGGACACGGCAGAGAACAATAAAATCGATACTATAATAATTAATTATTCATGTCGATTTTGCTCTTCTATTGATAATCACTCTCCATCTCCATCTGTTCATCTGCTCCCTCTTCCATAAAAAAAATTGTTTTGCTCAACTATCTTTTCCCGATAATTTCGTCTACAATTATGGTCACTGCCCATGGGACTGCTAATGGTCCTGGCCTTATAGTACATAGGCTAGGTATTACTTTCCTCAGTAAAATACTCCATTTTTACAAAGTTTTTATTAACTTTACAGAGTAGGTACTAGAGATTAGGGCTTTTAAATAAACACACGATAAAAACTTACAGGTTTTTGTACAATTATGATCTGAATAAATGGGCCAGTTCGACAGGAGTGACATCAAGGGCTCACAGAGAACTGTTTTAGAATTCTTTTTTTTTTACTGAGTAAGTGACGTCACAGAAACTCAACCCCCCCCCCCACTGATCATCGGGTAAGCCTTCTATACAAAAAAAAATATGTAATTACTGCAAGTTAAGTTTGTCTGGTAATAACAAAGTTTTATTTGTTATTTGGTTAGTTCGTCTTTGATCTAGTAAAACGTGAGGTTCAATGAAACAAAATCAAATATTGGAAACTGTTTCACCTTGTCAGGTTAAATGGCCAAGAGTTTTTTTGCTTAACCGTTCATTTTTGTTGCAATTTATTAAATACGTTTCATTTGTATACCTGTATCCGATTTGCCTATATCGTTTATAAAATATCTTACGAAATGGATCGTATTACTTATTATTACATTAGTTGTAAAAAAGCATTATTTTCGAAATAGAACTGCTCGAAAGGTGAATTATCTCTGGCACCACATTTTTGAGAGGAAGGATTTTGATGGTGTGGAAACACTAGAAACCTCACGGTTTATCACCTCACCGGGACTCACGGTAGTGAAGTGTTATGTCGGAATCGAACCGACTATAACCACACGGTGTTCCGTCACATGTAAGTGTATTAAAAGGGACTCGGGTATACCGTAGGAAGGAAGTCTCAGATAACCCTTGCAAACCATTGCCGTCATAAGCATCCACACTATTGAACTCACCATTTTAATCCCCCTAGAATTAGGGGAAAGATACTCTATGTCCTTCCCTGTAATCCTGACAACGTGTAAGCATAATGTCATGGTAATCGGTTGAGTGGTTAAGGCGTCAAAGCTTAAAAAACACATCTAAGGCTAGCGGAGTTATAAATGAATAAATATTTTTAAAGTGAGTTTGTCGAAATTTGTGAGATTATTTTCGCTTTCCGTTGAAGAGAATCTAACCAGCACCGGGCGACGACGTCCCTAGTGTGTTATTATGTTTCCGTTTTTCACTCTGCGTTTCTGTCTTTCAATCAGTAACTACTTTTCGGTTTTTTTAAATTAAACTCTAAATAAATGCAAGTTAGTT